ATGTATAATTTGGATGGAGGTTGACAAAGAAGAAGACTGTTGTGGAAGTAAATGAGAGCTGTACGCTGACCATATTCAAGAATGTCTGTACGCTGTGCTGGTTTGAGACGGTACTGTCTACGTCCCTTTTTGTTTCCTTGTGTCAACGTTTTATTTCTTAATTATGACTAAAAATAGACGCAAATTATCATCATCACCAATTACGTCTTCGTCCATCGCTGGATTTTTTCCCGATATGCTACTCACTTTTCCTTCAGTGGTGCTTGACGTGCTTGCGGAAGCGCCGGCAGTATCCATCGTTCGTGGTTTCGTTTTTTTTTTTTTTTTTTCGGATTTGGCTCGGCTACAATACCGGCAGTGAAGTAGTCTTCTCAAACAGCTCGCTCCCCCCTCAAAGGCCACGTGAGAGCGTTTCTGAGCGGCCATTGGCGGCGCCCTCAGAGTGATTGACAGGACTCGGCAAAGTTGCAGCAAAAGCTCGCTCCAGAAGCGAGGTGTGCGCGCAACTTTTTTTAGATGCGCGCGTCCTTTTCGGACTCGTTCAGACGGCGCAACCATTTCGCGAAACTACGTTTCGCGACACTAGATGCGCGAGAAAAATGCATCGTGTGAACGGGCCTTGAAAAGGACGCGCGCATCTAAAAAAAGTTGCGCGCACATCTCGCTTCTGGTGCGAGCTTTTGCTGAATCTTTGCCGAGTCCTGTCAATCAATCTGAGGGCGCCGCCAATGGCCGCTCAGAAGCGCTCTCACGTGGCCTTTGAGGGGGAAGCGAACTGTTTGAGAAGACTACTTCACTTCCGGTGTTGTAGCCGAGCCAAATCCGAAAAAAACCGAAACCACGAACGATGGATACTGCCGGCGTTTCCGCAAGCACGTCAAGCACCACTGAAGGAAAAGTGAGTAGCATATCGGAAAAAAATCCAGCGATGGAGGAAGACGTAATTGGTGATGATGATAATTCGCGTCTATTTTTAGTCATAATTAAGAAATAAAACCTTGAGACAAGGAAACAAAAAGGGACGTACACAGTACCATCTCAAAACCAGCACAGCCTGCAGCTCTCATTTACTTCTACAACAGTCTTCTTCTTTGCCAACCTCCATCTAAATTATACATATTCAACAGTAAATAAAGTAAATGGCAGTAAATGACAATTCAACAACTAGTAAATGACAATTTAAGAGTAAATTAAGTAAATGGAAATAAATGACAGCTGTATGCTGTGCTGGTTTCAAGACGGTGGTGTGTATGTCCCTTTTTGTTTCCTTCTCTTAAGGTTTTATTTCTTAATTATGATTGTTCACCAGCTCGCCTGCGTTTTGACTCTTAGAATGTGGCGGGAGATGGAGAACACGACGCTGAATGGCTAATGCTGATGATGATGATTTTGCCTTTCAACTGAAGCGCCACTTTATGATCAACACCCAAACTATTTTCGCGATTCTATACGTCATCGTTGTTGCACGTGAAACGATGCGTGTGAACGAGCACATTTCGCGAAACTTGACTGTCGCGAAACTATTGCGCGCCTAAAAGATGCATCCCGTGAACAGACCTTAAGAACAGAGGAGGAACATCACTGCCACGAGCCTGTTGTCTCGCAACACGGATGAGTGCCGCCATCTAGTGGTTGAACTAATGGCTTGTTCAAGATGGCCGCCGTGGGGCCGCCGTGGGACCGCCACGCGCGAACAAAATGCCGCCTATTGCTAAGAGATCCCACGCCAAGGCGGGGAGCGTTTGTGTAGCCCGAGCAAAAGCTCATCCACCCCCCTGGGATGTCTACGACCCCCCCCCCCCTCCCAGCGCGGCTCCATGCAAAAGCATAAAGGTTTTTACCACGGGATGCGCGTGGTATCTGAATACCCCTTCAACCTCTACTATTAGGGGCGAAGCTCATTAGGGGCTAGCCATGTCCGTATGTCCGTCCGCCGTCCGGCGTGCCCCTGCTCGTGAGCTCACGAGACGAGCAGAAGCTCACGAGCTCCTGCTCGTGAGTTCAGCAACAAAAGCAAAAAAAAAAAAAAGAAATAAACAAACAAAAAAAAAAAAAAAATAGGGGGCTGTGAGACGCCATCTCATCTGTCTTCTTAAAAAAAAAAAAGAATACCAAAACCACATATTCTTCTACTGACATGAATGAAAACGGCAGCATCAGCACTACCTATGACCAAAATCAGTTACAAGAAAAAGAAAAAAAAAAGAGTAGGGGGTTCTGAGTTGCCATCCCAACTGTTTTCTTACAAAAAGAAAAAGAAGAAAGCCACACATTCTTTTACTGACTTAATGAAAACGGCACCATCAGCTTTACCTATGACCAAAATCAGTATCAAGAAAAAGAAGAAGAAAAAAAAAGAAGAGTAGGGGGTTCTGAGTTGCCATCCCATCTGTCTTCTTAAAAAAAGAAAAAGAAGAAAACCACAGATTCTCGTACTGACATGAACGAAAACGGCACCATCCTATGACCTATGACCAAAATCAGTATCATCAGCACCACCCGAGCTTCGCCTCAATCAACATCATTCACCACGTGGAGATGCGGTAATTTATTTTGTAGAAAAATACATATAGAAAGATTCCTCTCTATCATTTTCCAACCCATGTAACAGCTGCTTTTGAGAGGTTTGAACGAACCCAGAAAAGGACAGACGCCCTATAAAGAACGCTACATTTCTCCGTACCGAGTCGATATTTTATCAGAAGCAGTAGAAGAATAAACAGGAGTGGTTCGTATATCCTTAGGAAAACAAAAAAATCTTTCAGTATGGGACAGACAAAAATATCTATTAATGGTATGAGCAGAGATACCTCTAGCGATAAAAGCAAATATTTACAAAACTACGGAAGCTTTAAATTATTAAAAGGGCTACTAAATTAAGGGTGTGTAATATTCACACTTGTTTGGTATAGCTTCGTCAGTGTTGGGTATAACGTTGAACAGCCCGGTTTGTAAGTTTCAAAGTCAAGGTCAGCGACAAGGGTACATCGGGAGCTTCCTATGTTCAGGTGTAGGAGCTTCTTTAGCAAGTCATCTGACAAGTACGCGTATTCTAGGAACTCAGGTCTATCGTTCGACATAGGAGCTGTATAAAATCTGCAGTTCGGCGATATGTGTTCTTGTGGTAGGTCTCCTTCGCACAGTTCGAAAAGTGGAGCCCTACCCGGTATATAGGGAAAGCGGGTCGATGTCAGATAGTGACTACCATTGAACAGATCCAGGAGGAATGCGGCCATCGAAATACCGACACAAAGCTTTCCCTGATGCTGAATATAGTCGGGAATACTTGTGAGAAACTCGAGTGTTTTGTTCGTGACGTACTGACAAAGTTTAGGGTGAGGGGTGTCCGGTCGAAACTCGTGGGTCATGAAAAAGAAAAAGTCTACCAGGTCCGGCGAAATTGAGGCTAAGGTTGCGGAGTCTCCGTAGGGTAGAATGAGCGTCATGAGCGCTGGTAGATTGTTCAGAACCAAAAGCTTCTTCACGTTAGCGAAAAGGACTGACAGTGTCTTGTTCACATCAGAAGGCTGGCAGGCGCCTGCGGGCAAAACCCAATGGATGGCGAGTCCGTCCAGGCGAAGGTGGACCATCATCGTTACGATGTCGGCGACTAGAGTGTCCATGGCCACGGAATCTCTGCCCAGCCTCGAGAATTGCGGACTTTCCTCAGGGTATCCGCCAAGGGCCATCAGAACCCTGGTTTTCCCACCGCTGAGGCGGTCGCTTGTGTTCTTCAGCTCTGAGATGCCGTACAGCCTGTCAAATGATGGAACTCTACTTTTTACTCGGCCATCAAAAATGCTCATTGACCAATAGATGACATATGGACAGAGGTCAAACGGCAGATTCTCCGGGAGATAGTGGAAGTCTTCGTTTTTGCGGAACCTTGAGTTGTTAAACAGACAAAAAAAACGGAGGTCTTTCGTATGTGGCATCGAAAAATTTGGGTCAGTACGGTACAGATTGGTGATGTTGTCGTTCAAGCTCACCGCACCAGAACAATTTAATTCGACGGCTGTCAAGGGATTTATAGTTGCCTTTTGACGAGCACTGGAACGCGTCATGAAGACCGCTGTGGTACTGTTGGGTGAAATCTTGTCTGAGTGTGAAAGGTATCCAGTGAGGACCAAGCCAATGGGAATCAACAAGGTTCCCGCAGTAGCGGTGCAGAGGAACCATATCTGTTGGCATCTTCTGTCCCCTTCTATCTCTTGTCCATTTGACTCCTCTTCACTGGAGAAGACGTTTGGTTTGAAAACGACTGGACTCGGAGCAAGGGCGGGATCCGGACCTACCGAATGCCAGATTTCAGCTAGCGGATTCTCTTTTCTCGCTGCACTTCGTGTCCGGAATTGATACCCTTCTTTCGGTATCGTATGGCTCTGCGAAGTGGGCACGGCTCTGACTTCGATGGAATGGGTCCCATCGGTGGCTGTGGTCCCGGTAGAGGCACTCCCGGAGGATATTGGACTACCGCTGGTTGCCTCGTACTTGTTAGCGTCCGCCGAAGGTGGGCTACTGCTCTCCATTTATGCGTCCACTAAGCTGCTGCGAGGTGGGCACACGGATGTTCGCCAAGAGCAATGGACGTCCGAAGTGGAACAGCAGGTGCTGTGCGTGCCAAAGCGGGAGTCTGACACGAGACGTTTTCGTCTTTTTTATGCACAGTTAAAGAAATTGTGCGGTCAAATCTCGTACTTAGAAAAAAAATGACATCTAGTCCTCATTCTCAATGGCTGTAGGAGGACGTTCAATGGCAAACCTGAATTTTGTTCACTTCCCTGGACAAGTAATTATAGTTTAAACCGAAAGTACACAAACGGTGTTTTCCTCTTCCACTACGACGTAGTAGGTAGGTAGGTAGAAAACGTTTATTGGAAACCAAGAACTACGAATACAAAGCTTATCCGCGCCGCGGTGATCTTCGGATCTGGCAGCCTCGTTCTTGCGTGATTATGGGTGATGAGGGATGACTGTGCGATGGGCCATGAAGGGTGTTTTCATATGGAGTCCCCAAGATCTGACTTGGCTACGAAGTCCAGAAGCGACTGGAGGACCCTCGTCCGGCGTTGGGCTTCGCCCTGCGGGTGCGTCCAATCCACGAGTTTCTTGGGTCTTTGTTCCTCGGGTAGCGTCTCGATGGCTTCCACTCTGCACAAGGCTAGAGCTTGGCATTCCCATAGGAGATGGTCGAGCCTGGGAATGGCTTCTGGCTCCTTGCATCTCTGACATCGCGGGTCCGGAGGGACCGCGTACGGCTGCGTCCGTCGCAATTGCGAGAGGTTGATGTGGTACTTGAGCCTTGGCGTGACCGCGCCTTCGGTACGGATGAGCCGAAGTTGAACCGTTTCCTTTCGCTTGAAGGTTTTCGCCGGAAGCGGGTAGTCCTCGGGTTGCCACTTTTCCGCTAGCTGAATCTTTCGCACCTTGCGACATCTACGCAGCTCTTCGACGGGGTCGTAGCATGCCGTATTTTCTGGCTGTTCGACTGACTCTTCGCAGTTGGACGCCTGTTGGGATGGCAACTGAGGAATTCTCATCCCGCACTGTGCCGCTGCGTGAGCCATGTCGTTTCCTGAGATCTCCTGGTGTCCCGGGACCCATCGTACACTGATTCTTGTGCCGTGCTCCCGGTATAGGCTGAGCGCCGTGTCGAAGAAGGCGTGTACCGTCGGGCTTGTAGTTGCCTTGAGCTTGTACATGTTTCGTACCGCCTCCTGGGAGTCCGTATAGATAATGAGGTTTCTCGTCTTGCCGGGGAGGTGCCCGTATACTCCCAACGTGAACAGAAGAGCCGCTTCTTCTACCGTGTCTGATGTGACCTCCGTGCCCAGTCCGCAGCTAGTGGCAATTTCAAAGGGAGTTGCCCCCTCGCCTCTGTAGAAGACTGCTCCTGCGGCATACTCCTTCCCTTTTGTCGCTCCATCGACGTACACCACTGTGTTGTGCTGGCTTGCCAACAGCTCCTTGACCTCCTTCTTGTGCTGTTGGGCGTACCTTTTCCTGCGGGCTTTGTGTCGCTCCGGGTCCATATTTCTTGGAAGGGGTTTCGCACCTTGCGTGACGCTAATCACATCCCACGGTGCCTTGCTTGGGGGGAGGGGGTCTAGGGTCTCCGGGAGTTTGATGCCTATGTAGCTTGCCACTGCTCGGCCTTCCTCTGTGTGATGCACACGCGCCGTGTGCGTCACTATCTGCTGCACCAGTAGGTCCTCAATTTCTGGCAAAAAGATGAGTTGCCTCATCCTCTCCGTTTTTGTACTTCTTGGTAGCCCCAAGATGGCTCTTCCTGCGTCATTGGGCATAGCTCGGAACTGGTTCTTGTGCCACAACCGTAATGAATAAAATCGCGCCGCATATGTGATTTTCGAGACCAGTGTGGCCATTACTAACTTCCTTGCCGTTGCTTCTCCGGCTCCTCCTAGTCGATGGGAGATTCTTCTGACCAGGTTGAGGCCTTGCTTCCACTTCTTTCTCATCTCGGCCATCCACTTGTCAGTGATGCTGGGTGAGTTTCCGAAGGTGACCCCTAAAAGCTTGATGCTCTCTTCTCGAACGATTGGGTCCCCGGCGAAAGTGAGCTGCAGGTTTCTTTGGACGTTACCGGCCCCGAACACAATGTATTTAGTCTTTTCTGGGGATGGTCTCATCCCTACTTCTTTCAAAAAGTAGCTGATGGTATTTAGTGCTTTTTGCAGTGCTGCCTCCTGTTGCTCTGGCGTACCTTCATACGTCCATATAGTGACGTCGTCTGCATACGCCGTCGCTTTCAGCTTCTCGATCTTGTAGAGCCGTCAGAGCAGTGGTGCCATAACTATGTTAAATAGCGTTGGCGAGAGAACTGCTCCTTGCGGCACGCCGATGTTGTTTTCGCTAGTCGGGCCTTCTCGCGCTTCCTTTCCGTAACCTGCCTTTATTCTGTACTTGCGGTTCGCAAGGAAAGACTTCACAAAATCCAATTGTTTGCCAGTGAGCACCTGCTCTTCCATCTTGCCGACGACAGATTCGTGGGGGACGCTGTCAAACGCTTTCTTGATGTCAATTGAAACGATTACTCTCAGACTTCCATCGCTTCGCGGCCGATCGATAACATCGTTGTAGATCATAAGCAGGCTGTCGTGGGTAATTAGGTTAGCCCGAAACCCAGTCTGCGTGGGGTGGAGTATTCCTTTGTGGCGTATGTTGTGCTGGATTCTGGCCAGGACCATTCTCTCCATGAGCTTTCCCATGATAGAGGTGACGGAGATCGGCCGTACGTTCGCCGGATCTGTCGCGGGTTTCCCAGCTTTCGGAATCGGCGTCACCACGGATATCCTCCATTCTTCCGGGAAATCGCCAGTGTCCCAGATTTGGTTGAACCATTGGAACATTGCTCGCCTGGCTGACTCCGGAGCGTTCTTAAAGGAGCTGTGCAACGATATTCAGTTGGAATGTTTTAGAGCGCAGCTCTTAGGGGCCCGTTTCCGGCTTGAGCGGCGTCGCCGTCGGCGTCGCCGTCGCCGTCGCCGTCGGCGTCGGCGTAACCGCGCGGTGCATCATGGGAAATGTCCCATAATGCACCGCGCGAGCCCCCCACCAAGGTCACGTGACCTCGTGGGGGGTCACGTGACCCCCCGAAGTCACGTGACTCCCCTGAGGTCACGTGGCCCCCTCCTCGAGGTCACGTGACCCCCGCCTATGTCGCGTGACCCCCGATGACGTCATCGTCACTGATGACGTCACCGGCATCCACATCGTCATCGTCATCATCACTGATGACGTCACCGGCATCCACATCGTAATCGTCATCATCACTGATGACGTCACCGGCATCCACATCGTCATCGTCATCACTGATGACGTCACCGGCATCCGCATCGTCATCGTCATCATCACTGATGACGTCACCGGCATCCACATCGTCATCGTCATCATCACTGATGACGTCACCGGCATCCACATCGTCATCGTCATCATCACTGATGACGTCACCGGCATCCGCATCGTCATCGTCATCATCACTGATGACGTCACCGGCATCCACATCGTCATCGTCATCATCACTGATGACGTCACCGGCATCCACATCGTCATCGTCATCATCACTGATGACGTCACCGGCATCCACATCGTCATCGTCATCATCACTGATGACGTCACCGACATCCGCATTGTCATCATCATCACTGATGACGTCATCAGTGACGTCACTGATGTCGTCACCGGCATCCGCATCGTCATCGTCATCATCACTGATGACGTCATCAGCGACGTCACTGATGACGTCAGCGACATTCGCATCGTCATCGTCATCATCACTGGTGAAGTCATCAGTGACGTCACTAATGACGTCATCGGTACCCGCATCGTCATCGTCACTGATGACGTCATCAGTGACGTCAGTGATGACATCATCGGCATTGGGGGTCACGTGACCCCCAAGGTAACGTGACCGCCCCCTGGTTAGTTTAACCCCCCCCCCAGTGCCCTTCCCTCCTCCTCCTCAAGAGCTGCGCTCTAATTCGGCGTTACAGGGAGTTGTAAGCGGCTTTCATTTTTTTCACTATACACGAGCTTACTGGCACTAGCGGGGGTCAAAGATACTCGCACGCAACTCCGCTGGCCAAGAAAATCGTTTGTTGCGGTGTAATTTCGAGGAGAAAAGCGATTATTTTCACTCAATCTCTCCTTTGCAAATTTTGATGACGTAACGTGGGGATCGCAGTACACCCAAGTGATGATATTTGAATGCGGTTCATAGATTGGACCCGAGCATTGCGTGGGAACTCGATTTGGGCTCGTAATAATTACTAGCTCGAGAAGCATTCGGGTAGTGGCCCGTGTCCAATCGCTGCAACGACGACAATAGCCGAGCCATAACAATGTCTGGAACTCAGCGCGTGCCCTGTGCTTTGCCAACACCAGCGCGTGGCTATGATCAACATTGGCGGCATATAATCGGCTCCAGATCACGTGGCCGCTTGTTCTGGCTGCGAGTTGAGGCGGTGAACGCTGCTCGTTTTTCTTTAATTTTTTTCTGGGACTTCTATTGCGTGGGGTGAAAAACGAACGCGTGGTTCATAGGTCATTAATGTCAGGGATCCGTTCTAAGCGTTATTTGCGCAAAGTACGAAAATTGTAGCATCGCCCCTTTAAGCATGGGGGCGGTGATCCCATCAGGTCCAGGTGTACTCTTTGATCGGCATTGCTTGATTGCTGCATCCATCTCCCATTCCGTGAAAGGCTGATCTTCGGATTGCCTGGACGGTCCGGTATGCTTCCTCCAGTAGGTGCTCGGGTCGGGCTTTTTGGTTGGTTGAGGGAAAAACACTTCCCCGAGCTGCTTGAGGATGTCCTCCATCTTCTCGTTTGACATTAGGGCTATCACGAAGTATATCCGAAGTATGTACCAACTCGCCCAAGCCTCAACTTTAGCGACATTAGGGCTATCACGGGAACGGGACTGACTCCCTTCTTTTTACCGTACATAGAGTTGAAAGTCCGCCATACGTCTCCCATGTTTGTGAGTCTATCAAAGGTCTCACAATATTCTATCCATCTGTCGAAGCCAAGCTGGCTTGCGTACTGGCTTGCCTCTTTGGTGAGCTTGTTCACTTTTATGAGATGCTTTCTCAGCTTCTTCTTTCTGTAGGTTGTGAGTGCTGCCGTTCTTCTGTCCCATAATGAGAGAAGATGCGTATCTGGCGTTGGAGTCTCCTCGTCCACTTGGCGCTCGTCAACGGCTATCCTGGCCGCTGTCGTCAGGAGGGTTGCGACGTGTTGGAACTCAAAGTCTTCTCCCTGGTCTTTGATGTTCTTCCGAAAGTCATCCCAGATTATCGTTTTGGTCTGTTTTTTGCCTGGGCTGCTCTTGGCTCCGATGTCCAGCTCCATGACAATGGGGAAATGGTCGCTTCCCCAGGCGTCGTCTAATATGGACCACTTTAACTTCCGTTCGGTGCTTGCAGGCGCTATCGTGACGTCGATGATGGAGTCTCTGTGCCCTGCTCCCGTTGCATACCTCGTTGCTCTGCTGAAGTCGTTTATTAGGGCCATATCCGCCTGCTCTGTGATGTCGCGCAGGTCTGCGGCCCCCCTTGCCGTGTCGCCTATCGCCCAGTGTTCTACGTGTTTATTGAAATCGCCTCCCAGGACCATGAAGTCATCAGAATATTCTTTGCGTAGGTGCCTCCTCCAAGAAAAGTCCTTCGTCGTGTGCTGCCTTTTGTAAGCCGAGGCCACCGTGAGCCTCTTGCTCGTGGATTCCAGCGCTATGCGTAGCGCCACAACTTCTTGGATTTCCGTGCACCACTGGGATGTGTCGATGGTGATGTGTGGTAGCTTCGCCTGCACAAAAACAGCCGCTTGTGCCTTGATTTTCTTTTCCTTCCTGTAGGTGTGCGTGATAGATGGCATGTAATATTGTTTGAATCCTGGTAATGTGATCTGATCCGACTTCGTTTCTTGCAATAAAAGAATGTCAAAAGTTTCATTCTTGAGTCTTTGGACGAGCTCTGCCCTTCTGCTTGCGAGACTGCGACAATTCCATTGTAGGATTCTTAGCGCTTCCTTGCTTGCATCATTGTTGGCTATCTTGTGGCGTAGGGCAGCTGGTCGGTAGAGCCTGCTGGGACGTCAGCATCTGTTGCATTTGTAACATTTGCTGTTGTATCTGTTGCATCTGGGTCTGCATCTGTGCTTGTATCTGGGCTTGCATTCGCTGTAATGCCACTTGCCATCCTGTAGGTTGCTGCGGTGTTAAGCTGCTTGCAGTCGCCGTCCATTCGGTCCTCTCCTCGCGAATTGGATCTCTTCCCCGAGAAGCTGGGCTGTCTGCCTGCTGCTCAAGCTGTTTTCTTTGCTGCTCTTGTTGTGTCTTCGTGGCCTCTATCGCTGTCTTTATGTGACCTAAAATGGTGCTTTTTCGTGCCTGGCGACGTCTGCTTTCTTCCTCGATCTCCTGTCGAAGTTGCAGTAGTTCAGTCTCGAGGCGCCTGCATTTGTCGGCGTCCGCTTGATTTCTTGCTTCGATGGCTCGGAGCTCTGTTTGCCGTGCCTTGACCTCGTCGTCATCATCGGCGTAGTAGCCTTTCGGTTTTTTCGTGGCTTCGGCATAGCTTTTGTCATTGTTGCGAACCCGTCGAGCTGACGGTGACCTTCCGCGCAACGTGATGGTTTGTTTTTCGTTACGTGACGCACTTCGCGACGCTTTCCTGCCATTCCTGGTGCTACCAGCTGCGGCGCTCCTGCTTCTACTCTTGCGCGCTGGTGAATTTCTCTTGAGTGCACTACTTCTTGCTTCTAGCGGTGGAAATTCGTCTATGGTCACGTGGGGCGGTTCTACCTCCGTCCTCTGTCCGTCGCCGTGGCTACTTGCCTACTTGACGGCCCGCCCTTTCTGGTCTTCTGCTGCAGCACCTTGTCTGCCCGTATTTTCGCCGGGCATTTGTTGTCCGTCGCTAGATGCGTGAGCGATCGGCAGTTTACGCAGTACTTGCGCTGGCAAACGTGGCCGTCTTGAATAATTCAGCCGCACTCGGTGCACCTTGGTTTCCTAGTGCACACCATTTCCTTGTGGCCCAGGCCTTGACACCGACGACAAACCACTGTAGTGGGCTTGTACAGAGTCACCTTGGTGATGAAGCCATGGTACAGTATCGTCCTCGGTGGA